GTGATTTTCTTTTGGGGTCTATCCTTCCTGGGGTTCGTTGAGCTTCTTAAATGTTTATCTTTTCACTTTTCAGGATGTTGGAAAATTTTTCTTCCAGCAGTTCTTCAACTATTTCCTCTGTGGACTTGTGGGATTCTTCTCGTTCTGGAATGCTGATGATTCTTAAGTTATCCCTCTTCATGTTGTCCAACATGAATCTTAGACCTTCAGATTTTGTTTAATCCTTTTTTCTGTTTGCTCTTCTATCTTAGTGGTATTGAGAGACTTGTCTTCTGGCTCACTGGTTCTGTCTTCCATCTCATCTATTCTACTCATTTGCCCTTTCAGAGTATTGTCTGTTTCTGATATTCTATTATTGATCATTTGGACCTCTTTCTGTAGGGTTTGAATTGAATCCAGTGCTATATCTATCTTATTTGATTGTTCCTATAGCACTTGCCTGACTTTTTCCTTACTTTTCTCAACTCCATTCTAAAGTGTTTTGAAACATTTTATAATCATTTTTCTGAATTCCTTCTCAGGCATTTCCAAGGCCCTCCCTCCTTCCATGTTGTTTGTATGCTGAGCAGAGCGTGGATTTTTTTTTTTTTTAACTCCAAGACTTTAGGCACGATTAGAAAGTATTTAGAATGAGAAGGATATAACCATGAAAAATGATCCTTATTTTCACAAAATAAAATCCAGAGCAGGGTCTCTTGCTCTCTCCACGCTTTTGAGGTTTGTGTTTTTAAAGGCACCGTGCCCACTGACACTGAGTTTGTGGCTGTGGTACATAGGTAGTAAAGCAGCTTCTCGGGTCATGTGTGCAAACTCAGGACTGACCTCTCTGCATCCGTGTTGCTTGTTTTTCTGAAGGTGGAGACGAAGAAGAAAGTGACGAGCCCCCCAAAGCAGTTGTCACTGAAGTAAAGGAAGATGACGCTTTTTACTCCAAAAAGTAAGTCAGACGCACAACGTCGCCTCTGGGAGATGTGTCCCAGGCCTAACCCTTGGCTCCCAGCAAGCATCATCTTGAGAGCCTTAGCAAAGCACAGGCTACACCTGCTCTCTGAGGAATTGGGTTGGAAGAATTTCTGGCCTGCTTTTTTTTTTTTTTTAACAACAACAAAAAAACTAGTTCAAGAAAGTGGCTGCTTGGCGTGTCTTCCTCTGCTCTGTTAGGTTTCAGACTCTGCTGCTTTCTGTAGAGAGCCCAGGCGGGTTCTGAGTGGTCACGCGCCCACTCTGAAATGAGACCAAGTGTCCCTGCCACTTCAGGTGCTTCGCAGAGGTGTTTTTTCTAATGTAGACGTTTTCAGAATTAGGGACTAGCTGTGTCCCATCTCCTATGGCATTCCCAAGTGTTTTTATTTCTTGGAATTTTTTAAATGGGTTAGCCATTGCCTTTGACACGGACGACGTGATGGGATAGCCTGACCGGAAGCTCTTTTCTGATCAGAATGCATCAGAGGCACAGACAGTGATTGGGTGAGGTTTGGTGTGATGAATGCCCTGAGAGAGCTGGATGTGAGTGCCCAAGGTGGAAGGGATGCTGAGGGAGACAAGTGCTCCCTCCTGGTCTCAGGTACTGATTGATTCTGAGCTCTGTGCACCTATTTAGGGTTCCTGTCCCTCTCATGTTGTTGTGAAGTGCCTTCGAGTTGGTTCTGATTCACAGCAACCCTGTACAGGGTTTCCCAGGAGTCGCTGGTGAGTTTGAACTGCCGCCTTGCAGTTTAAACCTTGTAGTGCTTATCCTCCCGTGCTACACCAGAGCCCCTGTTCCCTGTATAGACAGACCTGTCTGTTGTGTGACTGGGGTCCCGGCGTGGTGCTGTAGGATAAGCACTGAACTGAAACACCACACTCCTCGGAAACCCTGCAACAGGGTTCACAGTAACATTGCTGTGACTGAACAGTGGTCGGGGGTGGGAGGGAGTGCATTTACAGAGCTTGAAGGGTGACAGGGAGCCATAGTCTCACAGTTAATACAGGTTTTCCCACCCAAGTGTGAATGATGTCGTGGGCAGACTGTAGTTGAGAGCCTGCCTTCTTACCTCTGTTGTTTTTGCTCCATAGGTGCAAACTATTTTACAAGAAAGACAATGAATTTAAAGAGAAGGGTGTTGGTACTCTACATCTGAAACCCACAGCAAATCAGAAGACACAGCTGCTAGTACGGGCAGACACCAACTTAGGTGGGTGACATCTTCCCCCCTCCCCTGCACAAGATGACCCCAGCTCCAGACTGAGTGAGCTGTTGGGGCATGGGGTCGGGCTCACATGTACCCTGCTTGATGGGACTAGTTCTGTGTTTATAGATTTCTTTATAGACTTTGTTTTCAGAGCCTGCCTCATGGTGTGTAAGAAAATGTGGATCATGTTGAAAGGTGTAGCTAAAATGGTTTAAATGTCTCCATTTGTTAAGAATGTGCCCGAGAAGCAGTAGGTAGATTCAGTGGTTTGTTAATAAGCTCATGTACTGGTCACTATATAGCAGTGTCCGTTTGAATAGAGCATTGTCACTCTTGCCTATTCGCCCCACGTGGCACCACCCTTAAAGACTCATCCTCTGGACTTTGAGCTCAGGACATTGCTGTAACAGGTGACAGAAGGTACAGCTGATCTCTCGGTCGTGCTGTTGGTGCCGGGACTGCAGCATGTGGCAAGTGTATGGTGCCTGTCTGTTACCTGGTGGAGTCCAGGCCACACTAGCTTCTGCTCCTCAAAAACAGGCCTGTGCTGTGTTTGCAGCAGGTGGAATATTCTGGAAGAGGGTGTCCCCTCTGTAGGATGTTACTGTGGATGGAGGAGGCAGTTGGGGTGAGGGGCAGAAAGACCACAGCGGAGTCGACAACGATGTCACCCTCATGGGTGCACCACACTAACAGCCACGTCCTAGCACCGGGTTCTCTCCCGCGTGCCTGGACCCCACTTTAAAACCCAATAAGCACTAGGTCAGTGGTTCCAGCCCACTAGCCAGTCCGCAGGAAAAAGAAGGGGCTTTCTGCTCCTTCAAAGATTTGCAGCCTCGGAACCCTTCCGTTGTGAGTTAGAACCTGCTTGATGCCACTTAATGACAGCAGTAGATGACGCCTCGGGTAAGCCTGTCATATACTAAAGACTCCTTTCGGGAGCTGTAGTGTATAATTTTTGTCTTTTCTTGCCTTAAACGCAGGCAACATACTGCTGAATGTTCTGATTCCACCCAATATGCCATGCTCCCGGACCGGAAAGAACAACGTACTTATTGTATGTGTTCCAAATCCGCCCATCGATGAGAAGAATGCCTCCACCCCCGCTACCATGTTGATCCGGGTCAAAACCAGTGAGGATGCCAACGAGCTGCACAAGATTCTGCTGGAGAGGAAGGAGGCCTGAGGCCGCCTGGGCCAGGCCGGCTGCTTCGACTTTCTCCTCTGCGCTGACATTCTGAGAACTTACAGACAACAGAAAATGAATATGGCCAATAAAACCTTTGAATGTTAAGTGTCAAGAAACTGTATTCTCCCTTCTTAAGAACTGTGGACCATGTATGTGGATGAAAATTTTGGAAGATTTTAAAAATTCATTTGTTTCTTAAACTAATCATAAGTGATTTCTTCATGGACTGCAATCAGGGTAGCTATAACATTTCCCAAAGGCTTTCGTGGCAGCTCCCGGGGTTTTAGGTCTGTGGCCACCACCCTCCTGGCTGACCAGGCTCAGAGAGAAGCCAGCCATGTCCACTCCCCTGGGGGCCTCTTCCGCGATGGCAGCACCGTACCAAATGACAGAGCTAGGTGTGCTGTGCTTTGTTCAGTAAGATTTCTTTTCAAGCTATTTAATCTTTTATTTGCAAACAGTGGCCTTTGAACCCTGTGGCTGCTTTTTCCTCTGAAAAGCCAGGAGCAGCTTGTTGGAGGTGTCCCTCCAAAACCAACTGAGGTCAAAGGAGATTGTCAGAAGTAGGTTTTAAAAGCACAAAGTTGCCAGCGAGTGGCTTCTAGACTATGGAGAGGGAACGCTTATGAAAAGGAAATTGAGTCTGCGTTAAAGCCCACTGCCTGGGGCCTTCTGGACAGAGAGCTTGTTACTTGGGTGAAGTCCAGAGGCGCTTCACAGGGGTGGAAGAGAAATGGTGGGTGTGAATTTTGCCTTTAATGTGAGGCTGCAGTGTGTTCTGGTCTGACATCAGAACCCACCACATCCCTTTGCAAGGGTTAACTGTCATGCCTCAAGATCCAGTCCATGCCCTGGGCTCCCACTTGTGTATTCGTTCATCAGTCCGTAGTGTGGTGTGATTTATAGAGTAGTCAAGGTCACTGGGAGGGAAGGAGGGGGGGAAATGGCACCATTGTTTTATGAAACCAGACAAAAGCTCCAGGCTAGGTAAAATGGGGAAGCATCAAATGTGTTAACCCTAAAAGACTTGAGATGAGCTAACTGGACCAGCGGTGCCAGGTTCTGTGGAAAAGGTGGCCCAAGTGTGACTTGGAGTACTCGCACTAGTGTGTCACGCAGGTGTCAGCTATACACGAGGGGCTTCAAGAACGTTTGTGGGGAGACCCTGTGTTTTCATCTTGTTTTTCCATGAACCTTTTAAAGCTCCCTCATAGTGTGCGACCCCAGGAGGTCCATGCTGTGTGTCCAGTCTAGAAGGGCTAGTGTTCGTGGGGTCTCGGTGCAGAAAATGACAGTCGGCCCTGTTACTTAGTGGTGAAAGGGCAGAAGCGGAAGGAGAAGGGACTTCAGGTGTCAGAGTTAGCCGCCTGGCCTCCCACCTCAGAGCGTCGTCTTGACAGTGGCCACATTGTTGGTAACCTCGGCCCAGCTCCCGCACGGTCCACGTAGAAGTGGATGACAACTTGCCCCTGGGGAAAGTGTGTATCTTATGTTTTAAATTGGTGTGTGTGACTTGACTTTTCATGCTAACATTCCCAGCAAATTTGTGCTGCTACAAGACTGTCACGTTAAAAGTGACAATTACAGGGTAAAATGCGTTCTGTACACCATGACTCACAATGTGACGTTTTCTTAAAACCAATCATTTCTGCTTGAGGAGGCTGTTGCTCTCCACTGTGACTGTGTGCAGCTGTGAGTTCAAGTGTGTGGGCGTCCCCGTAAAATCCTCAGTCCTGTGTGACACTTGGGGAGAGGCCCCCACGCTGCTTCTGAGGGGCCGACCCTGGTTTGTTAACCCTGTGATCTTAACAGCTGAATTCTGACCCATGGTTCTTTTAATTTGATTTTATAAACAGATACTAGAAGTAAAGCTTTCAAATATTACATGTAGTGTGGACTGCAGTTCCGGAGAGATGTTTAGATGGAGAATTTGTCTGCAGTTGTCTTACATCTGCAATCCAACGAGCAGTGTGTCTTTCTTTCAATCCATATGGTTTTGCATCTTGACAAATACTCTCCAAGTGGCCTTTTTCAAAACAAAACTGTTGTGTGCTCTTCCTCCTTGGAGCATTCCTGTAAGCAAAACATGCAGTTGTCTTTGTTCTGAGAAGCACAGACTGAAAGCGTGTGTCCTTCTCAAAGACATTGTAGCCTGCTTTCCATGGAAGAGCGCGTCTGCCTGTTGGCACACTGCCTTTTGCTAAGAGGGTTGTTTGTACAGTGTCATTGTAAATCATATTTTTCACATGCTGCATGCCAAAAAATAACCGAAAACCCTACCTGTTCTGGGGTCGAGGAATAGGAAGTCTCGAATATTCCCCCCAGCTGTTCAAACTGTACTGCCATGGAAAGCCCCTCTGTACTATTTAAAGGCAAACAGGCTGTGTTGAGGCGTTTGTGGCTTTTAAAAAACAAACATGTTAGCATTTGCCAGTGACTAACGGTCTAGAATTGTCAAACTGAAAGCTCCGCAAACGGAACAGCTCCCTCCAGCCCCCGAGTATTCTCACTTGGGCAGCGTGTTTGCCGTGGGACCAGTAGGTGACAGTGGGGACCATCACAGTGGTCTCCACGGTCAGTCCCTGGTCACGGGGAGGCCACGCTCCTTGGCTATCCCTCGGAGAAATGCTTTGCCTTTTATTTCAAATAGGAAGTTGTTTTCTGAAACAGAGCTACTTGAACTGTCAGTGCGATCTCAGTCTGTTCCCGCTGAGAAGTGTCACAGCCCCTGAAATGTGAATAAACAAAGCCAACAAGAACCCCTACGTGCTGCGTGCTTGTGTTCCTCTGCGGCGCATGGGCGGTCAGTCACTCCAGGCAGACGAGGGAGGAGAGTGGAGGCTTTGGCTGCTGGGAGCCTCTCCACATCCTACATGAAGGCCAGAGGGCAGCCACTTAGATTTACTATCAGGCTAGGACGGATGGGGCATGGCCTCCTGCTTGCTTCATGTTGTTCAAGATCGAATGGCCAAGTGCTTAATGTTTGGACTCCCAGAGCAGAGCTCAGAAACCCAGCAGTTGGGGAGGACACGCCCAGGCCCCCTCTCAGCCCAACCCCCGGCCTCCACAAGGGCATTTTGGGCAAAGGAGATGGAAACTGAGTTGCTATATCGTCTTAAGTTGTAGTGCGGTGATGACTACTTTGGAGTTACCATCTGCTCTGTACCTTTCCTAGGCTTGCTATTCAGTTACTTAGCTCCTTAACCTGACTCACAAGCGAGGGTCTCCAGAGGAAGATAATCCTATCAAGTCAGGTTGTCCCTAAACTTGACAACATCCATGGCAACGATAGAGGTGGGAGTCAAACAGTGCGTGTGCCGCTGCTCACTGGAAGGAACAGTTGGAGGGTACAGTCCACTCAGGCACCTCTGAAGAGAAGCCAGCCCCGTTGTACTGACACATACACACACACACACACACAAGCCCCATGAGCTGGACTCAACTCAGTGTCAACGGATGATTTTTGCTCAAGTGAATGTACCTGAATGACTCCCGTCCTATTTAGGTTTTTTTTTTTTATTTAAGGTTTTTATTGTGGATTGAGTGAAAGTTTACAGGGCACATCATCAGTTTCACATTCAACAATTCATATAACTTGTTTCA